GGATTTAGAGGATCAAGAGGATCAAGTATGGCGGGTGCCTTAAGGAAAATCGTTGGCACAGACGGTATCAGCAAATGTACTTGAAAAGCGATCTGTATGAGTCTACCAGCTTTGACAGAGGCTGATCTATAGTGCATACTTTTTTCAGATTGTATGAAGCACTCATGAGCGATATACGCACCATGAGGATGTGCAAAGTGCTCGAGGAGAACCCGGGTGCATCTGAACGATTGGATGTTGAGCATCTTTGGGAGCTCGATGAAATGGTTGGTTTGGTTCCTCGTTTGAGTTCGCCAATTTGGTACGCTGTTATTTCTTATCGTTATGAATTTCAGGTGAAATCTTTTCCAAAGGTGGCTGAGTGCATTGGGCAAGTTGCAGTCCAAGAGGTTACGTTATTGGTGAATAATACTGTGTGCCGTAAGCGCAAGCATGTACCTTGAACTCTCCGGAATAGTTTGAAGTAGCACTATTTTGTGTATTTGTACTTTGTCACTGTTGTTATGGTTATCCGCGTAGGTGAACAACAAAAAATGTGTTGATCCAGTCCTTGGATCTGCTTTGCTTTTTTCCATCTCAAACATTACCTAGACAACAAGCAGACAAGCCGAGTTCTTCTCAGCTCAAAGAAAATTGCATATCTTTGGGAACTTCGTTCCCACTTGTAAGCTGCGCAGATCTCAACTTCAGCGTTCAAATCAATTGCCAGGTTTCAAATCAGCGCGATCTCTCACAGACCACCGTTCCAAAAAAGTTGGAAAGCAGCTTTAAATTTTGAATTTTACATCGGATGTCACTCTTTCCACTTTCTAGTGGTGCCAGTCATACTGGTCCTTGATCATCTCTTTGATCACACAAATTGTCATATTATGATCTTAAACCTAATAAACACTGGTACTCACTGGTACTTGCCGTGCTTTATTCTTCAGCTTCACTTGCTTTTCTTCACTTAATCTCATCATTTTCTACAGGTTTCATGTTGCAAAGTATTTTGACTTTTCTCATTATTTCACATACACATAATATTGCTTCGCCCCTTTGTCTAGCATGCATAAATACGCCTTATATTGTTATGTTGCTTTTCAAGTCGATATAGCTAAAGGTGATAAACACATTGTTTAATATTTTGTCACTCACCATAATATCACTTTCCGTATTGTTTTCATCCATGGAGCTTCAACAGCCAGTAGATAGTTCAAACCTGCAAACTTACGCGATTTTTTTGATCCTC